TGTGGTGCTGGGGATCGAACCGCGGTCCCTGTGCTTTGCCAAGCTTGTTTCAAGTAGGTGCTTTAGACCACTGAGCCATCTCTCCAGCCCCAAGTGGGCATTTCAGTGGGGATATTATGGCTCTTATTTTTGCTATCACTAGTGGCAGTATCTTACTTTTAAAAGTATATTTTTCCATGAACATTATTCTACAATTCTGACCAGAAATTTGTAAGATCATTCAGAGATCAGCACTGTATAATGGGGTCTATGAATCACAAATGACCTAAAACTGTCTCCATGATAATAAAAGTCTGCTCTCAGAAATACTACACTTTCCCCTACATAGGTATGAGGTTACTGTTTGATAGGAGCAAGAAAAACAACTGAGCTTCCCAGAAAAGAAATGTAGTGAAATTCTGTGTTTGGTTATTTTCCTAAAGCTCTTTTCTAAGCAGCAAAGAAGTGCCAATAAACCTTTTACTCTCCCTCTGAACTAATCAGATTACCCAAGGAAACATGTTCATGGACATTGGCTCAGAGGCTTAAACTCTTCACAGCCAAGCTATGAAGTCTGTAACTGTAGAGACTGGGTGATACTGTAGGAATACTAAAGAAAGTTATGGGGTGGGGTTTTGATGCTTGGATATTACTTAATGAAAAATGTTCTCACCTGAGGTATATTTTTGGGCAAGAGTAAGAAAACAAAGCAAAAAATAGTCTCTTTAAGGATCAAGATCCTAGGGCCAGCCAGATAGCTCAGCACTAAAGCACCTGCCTAGGCAGAGTACAGTGGCCAGGGTTCCATGCAGTGCTGGCCCCGCCCCCAGGGCAAGCTGAACACAGGCAGATCACTTACAAGTCTGATCTATGTGGTAAGACCTTGTAGACCCTATACTAAATACAAAAAAAAAAAAAAAAAAAAAAAAAAAAAAAAAAAAGATCAAGATCCTATGACAGGCCAGCCAGATGGCTCAGTGGATTAAAGCACCTGCTAAAGCAGACACAGGGGCTGGGGTTTGATCCCTGGAATACCCGTGCCAGCCCCACCCCGGGACACGCTGAGACAGCAATTAAGACTGGGCATGGTGGTGTGCACTTATAATCCCAGTGCTTGGGAGCAGGGAGGCCTGCTCATTAGCTCAGGTGTTTAAGTGCCTGCTGAAACAAAGCAGTCAGGCTCAGGATGCTGTGGTTTGATCCCATCAACCTGAAGCCAAATCAGACCTGCCCTGAAGGCATCCTGAGCGGCCAGAAAAAAAAAAAAATCCTTCTGCCAGTGCTTGGGAGGCTGAAAACAGGAGGATCACTCCAATCTGTGTAGTGAGACCCTGAAAACCCTGTACTAAAACACATTAAAAATAATTAATTAATTGAAAATAAAGATCTCATGACAACTGGTATTGGCTCAGCATATAAATGAAAGCAGAATCTTCTACATAAAGAATAAATTAGATTTAACCATACATCAGCTCTTGCTGTGGATAATTTATGTTCTTTTTGGACTCTGTAGAGCTGAATGGGAAAGAAGACCAAGAAAGTGGTTTCTGTCTGTCCAGATTATTTACCATGTCCTCCATGGACTAATGTTTTTGGAGTCTGGAGAAATATATATATATCCTCCTCCACTGGATTTATACTATCTCTAGTCAAGAGTTAATTAAACTTTAAAATTCATGGTCCTCTCTTTTTCTGTCTAAATGGTACTAAAATTATCAGTTTCATTTCATTTATAGGAGAAAAAAGGCATGAGAGAAGAAATGTATTCTCAGGTCAAATAGCACATATTCAAGGAGCCAATAATAATAATAATATTTAACATAAATAACTTAAAAGATTTACCTTCACTTTTCTTATAAAGAAAGCAAATAAGCTGGGCATGGCAATCCAAGCACTTGGGAAGCTGAGGCAAGAGGATTGCCACATATATGAGGCCAGCCTAGGCTATACAGTGAGTTCAAGGTCTCAAAAAGATTTTTAAAAGAAGGAAAGAGAGAAAAGGAAGGAAAGAAGGAAGAGGGAGGGAACAAGGATGGAAGAAAGGAGGGAGAGAGAAGGAAAGGGAAGTGGAAGGGAAAAGGAAAAAGGCAGGCAGGCAGTCAAAGAAAAAAAAAAAAAAGGCTGAACCCTGGTATGTAGAATTACAGGCACAACTGTGTACAGTGCACACCTATAGTCCCAGATTCTCAAGAGACTCAGGCAGGAGAATCTCTTAAGCCCCAAAGTTTGAGGCAAGACTATGCCACATAGCAAGAACTCATTTCAAAATGATGATGATGATGATGATGATGATATAAAAATAAATAAGGGAGATCATCTCCAATTTATATCATATTCATACTCATAGTAAAAGAGTAAAATACACAGATAATGATTTTGCCTTTACCTCACATAATGTCGACAGTTTACGACAATAGCAATTCCATTTGATAGGTTCAAAGTGGGTTCATTTTCTACCCTGCAAAACAAGAAAAGACTAAACCATTTCCCAAACCAATCTTTCTTGGATACAAATTTTGAACCATGTCCTCTCCAGAGATCACTGGAATTCGGTAAGGAAACAACTAAAGAGATAATGGCAACTTTTAAGTTTATTTCCTCTAATGAAAAGGAAAAATAAACCTCTAAAAAGGATTTAGGTAAGTATACTTACTTGTTAATGGCTAACACAATAAGAAAATGTGGACGGGACCTTATAGTTTCAATGTGACTTTAGGTCAAGAAATCAAACTGTGAAACTATTGGTAATAGGACAATAAAGGCTGAGAAAAAGTGCTGGGTCATGGCATCATCTTAAATCAAGGACTTTCGCACTTACCCAAAGCTCTCTGTGGAAAGGAATCCATTTACCTTTACACTGAGAGTAACCCTGACCTACAAAACAATAAATGAGGCATGAGATTTCACATGAGCCAAGATAGAAATTAAAAACTTCCACACCTAATTTATAAGGAAAAGGATATTTTTTACTTTTCAAAATTATTATTTTAATTGATAAATCCTAATTATATAAAGTGATGCAGTATGATATTTTGATATATGTATGCCACATGAATTAAATCATCCTGGTTAACATATCTATCACTTAATTTACTTTTTGTGTTGAGACATTTACTTTCTTGACTATAATCAACCTGCTATGTCATTGTATGAATTCAGCTTGACATATCTGCAGTCATCTTGAACTATAATCACTATGACTTTTCCAAAGTAACCCTAGGTGGGTTTTCCTGCATAGATTCCTAGCAAACTATAATAGATTAAATCATTAACATTATATGTGAAGCTTTACTTAAAATTGGACCCTGCTCCACAGATGCACCTGACATTGGTATCTTAAGTTGAACCATGTATATTTTAACCAGAATGAAGTCATTTTGTCCTAACTCATAAATCTGTCCTTTTCTGACCTAAATTCCAGGGATCCAATTGGTCTTTCTGCCAAAAAGAACAACTCTTTTGTCATTAAGTTCTCTCAGTAAACTACATTGTATGAAATCTTAGATATCTCTCTCTCTCTCTCTCTCTCTCTCTCTCTCTCTCTCTCTCTCTTCTTTAGGTCTCATAGCAGCTCAGGGTCCTCATGCAATAAGACAGGATTATTCCAGAACAGCAGTATATCCCCAGAACTTATTCCTCCTAACTAATTGAAATATGTACCCTTGACCCTATTCCTTCCCTCCTACTGTCCCTCAGCCCCTAATAACCACTATTCTATTCTGTACTTCTATTAATTCAACTTAAGATTCCAGGTATAAGTGAGAACACATGGTGTTTGTCTTTCTGTGCCCAGATTATTTGAATGGATAAAGATTATGTGGTATATATACACAATGGGGTACTATTCAGCCTTAAAATAGAAGGAAACCCTATCATAGGCAACAACATAGAGGAGCCTGGAGAAAAAAAGATATTCTTTCTTGCTTTTTGCATTCACAGTTTCACTGAATATATTTAGTACTTGCCTATGTTCAAATTCCTACATCACAATTCCAGGTGGTTTCAAATTATCAGGAAATCTTGCCTCTTTGCTATTGATCCAACTTATCCCTTCTCTTTTTAAAGAAAATATCAAATTTTATTTCTATTATTTTCAAGACATGAACAATTCTGTGATTTTTTTCTTTCTTTTCATTCCCCATCTCCATCTGACTTATGTCCTCTCTCCAATTTACATCATTATTCTTATCATTCCTTACTTTCCATCTACATTTTTCTTTCTATAACATAAAAAGGGACTCTAGAGCCAGACTGCCTGGATTCATATCCTGACTCTACAAGTTACTTAACTTCTGTACTGTAGTTTCTTCAGCCATAATGGGAATGTCAAAATTCATTTCATGAAGGGTGATGTGAGGTTAAGTGGAGGAATATGTGCACTTAGAATAATTACTGCAAAACAATAAACACTTAACCCTGCTGACGACAGAAAAAGTAGGAAGAGACCATAAGAAAAGGAGAAAACTATAAGACATACTGCGCTATGTTCACCTTTATAAATATATCTGACTGCAGGTAATAATAAAAAATTAGCCCTTCAGTATTTAAAATGTTTTTATCCAAATTTCCTTATTTTCTTTGACAGTCACTTCAGAAAAGAAAACGATTTATCTCTAACATTTATTGTCTTAAGTTTAACAGCAAATTGAACAAGAGGAGGGAAAAGCTATATCTAATGTGATACAATAAAGCAGTTAAGGTGAAAATAAGAATCTAAAATAAAGCTGTCTGCATCAAGCCTTCTTAGTTATATCACAGACTGCCTTGATTCAGAACATAGTTCAGTGGTAGAGCATGTGCTTAGCGTGAGGGCCTGGCAGGATCCTGAACAGACCCAGAGTGCAGGCCCAGCGAGTGAGTGAGACAACCCAGGGCCTGGCGGGATCCTGAATAGACCCAGAGTAAAGGCCCGGCAAGTGAGTGAGACAACCCGGGGCCGGGGATCCTCATTCCACCCAGGCTGCGGGCCCAGCGCAGAACCCTTCAGCAGAACTCCCTGCAAAGAGACTAGAGGCAAGACCCACCCAGCTGATTCAGGAGCAGAACATCTTGCCAGAGTGACACAAAGGGTTCAA